TCCAGGTCAGTGGCTGCTGCTGGATGAAGGAGGAAAGTAGGGATTGCAAGAGTGGCTGGGAAACTGTCATGAAGCTTTGAAAGTGAGGGTCATGTAACTGCACTGAAACAGCCACAGCTTCCCCCAAATTGTAGTTAAATTGGTAACTGGGTTGTTAAATGAATCTGGCTCCCCCCTTTTCCTCTGCTTGTCTGAAGGTTGCAAAAGGCAATCACATGACCCCAGAACACTTGAACCGTCCTAAATATGAGTCAGTTGCTAAGCATCTGAATTTTGATCACATGACCATGGGGAATGCTACAATGGTCGTGTGAAAAACAGTCACAAGTCGCTTTTTTTCAGTGATGCTGTAGCTTTGAACGGTCACTAAACAAATTTAACGTTGATGACTACCTGCCTGGCTAAATTCCGGAATAGCTCAGAGATAGAGAAATGATATGGTCAGGGCTATGGCTATATCTTTCTTTTTTTTCTCCACATTTCCTCAGGCTTGGCGGAAACGCTGGTTTGTGTTACGTCAAGGCCGGATGAGCGGCAACCCGGATGTGCTGGAATATTATCGGAACAGTCATTCCAAGAAGCCTATCCGCGTGATCGATCTGAACGAGTGTGAAGTGGTGAAACACTCGGGGTCCAACTTGATCAAGAAGGAGTTTCAGAACAACTTCGTTTTTGTTGTGAAAACAACCTACCGCACCTTCTACCTGGTGGCCAAATCGGAAGAGGAAATGCACGTGTGGATCCACCACATAACCCAGATCTGTAATTTTGGACACTTGGAAGATGGGACAGGTAGGTACGATGAGACAGCTCAGGTCTCGTAAAAGTGGTCCATGAATGACGTAAGCCTCTTGAGATCCCACTAGGATTGAGGTGGTGGACAAACTGCATGCATGCATGAATGAATGAATGAATGAATGAATGAATGCTTGGAGGTCTTCATACAGTCCCCATGTTTTACATGCTAATAAATCATCACAGGACAATTGTTTGAAATCTCACTTTCTTCTAAGCAACCTCACTCATCAAGTTGGCCGATTGGCAGAATTAGTTAATCTAGTCTTTTTTTTTGTAATTGATATTTTGACATATTTATCACAGGGAGGAAATGTTGCAGTAAAAATCTGTATCGTTGTATGGCGAAATAGACAAATAGGATGTCGTTGGGGTAGCTTCCATAATAGACGACCACAATTTGTAAGTCCAACCTGCTTGTTCACTGGCAGGTGGTGAGGTGTTTTTTTTTTTTTAACCCTTTTTCCACGGCTCCTTTTTTCCTTTCCCCCCAGTTGGCGACAATAGGAAGGAAAATAACCGTGCAATATTATTGTGCACTTTCTGGATTCTGCGTGCAATATCAGCAGGTTGTTCCCAGGTCACTAACAGTGGGGGATGCTCTCAGAAGGAAGGTCCATGGATAATCTCAGTGCAAAAACACACCAACTGAGAGCACACATTCTTGCAAAAAAGTGTGAGGAGATTTTCTTGCACTTTGTAATAGTTAAGCACTGACATTCAATTATAAGTAATGCCTTGTTGCATCTGGCCAGTTGGTAGATCTCACTTCATGGCTGTCCTATTATTATTATTATTATTATTATTATTATTATTATTATTATTATTATTATTATTATTATTATTATTATTATTAATATTAACAACAACAACAACAAAAACAAAACAACAACAACAAAACAACAACAACAACAATAATAATAATAATAATAATAATAATAATAATAATAATAATAATAATAATAATAATAAAGTTGGAAGGGACCTTGGAGGTCATCTAGTCCAGTGGTGGCGAACCTATGGCACGGGTGCCAGAAGTGGCACTCAGAGCCCTCTCTGTGGGCACGCGCGCCGTCGCCCCAGTCCTAGGCCTTCAGCTGGGTTTTATAAAACCTTTTCGCTTTAGGTTCCATCAATCAGTCAATTTCAACTTCTCAGGGGGAAAAAAAGATCTTGCAAAGTTGGAATTGATTGATTGAACTTTTTAGTCCCACCCAGTCTGCCGTTACCACGGCAGCCACGCCCACCCAATGGACCACACCCACCCAATGGGCCACACCCACCAAATGAGCCACACCCATCCGGCACCCGACGATGCATAAGTGGGTTTTGGGTTGCAGTTTGGGCACTCGGTCTCTAAAAGGTTCGCCATCACTGATCTAGTCCAACCTCCTGCTCAGGCAGGAAACCCTATACCATTTCAGACAAATGACTGTCCAGTCTCTTCTTAAAAACTTCCAGTGTTGGAGCATTCACCGCTTCTGGAGGCAGGTTGTTCCATTGGTTAATTGTTCTCACTGTCAGGAAGTTTCTCCTTAGTTCTAGGTTGCTTCTCTCCTTTAGTGACTGTTTGAAGTTATGATGACATCGAAAAATTAACTTTACGACCAGTCCTTCTATTTATGACAGTTGTGGCATCTTGTGTTCACATCATCACCATTTGCGTGTTTCACGGCTGACTTCTGACAAAGCAGAGTCAATGGCGAAGACAGCATTAATACTGCAATCATGGTCACATGTTGTCTCTCTTAACGACTGTAATGACTTGCTTAATGGCCAAGCCAGAACTGATGTCACAAGTCCATCATGAGCATCAACAATGTTTCATTTAGCAACTGTGTTGCTTAGTGCCGGAGTTACCAGTCCTAATTGTTGTAATTGCTGAGTGGGACTACTTGTCCTCTACACTGCTAAGTATCCTATAGTAGAAGCATTTTGGGATGGCATCTCTTCCACACCTCTGATAGCCACTTCTTGTTTAGTATTTTTTGACATAAGATATTCCGTTCTCTATTCTTCTGATCAGGAGGCAGCAGCATATAATCATAATAACTAAGCACCTTTTTCTCTGCGATGGCATAAGGTGAAGAGCTGAGATGAAAGGAAAAGCAGTTTTCCTGATTTCACATTGTTAAATTAGTATGTGAACTGAACTCTACTTATCTTTCTGAATTCTCATTTCTCCATATTCGGTGAAGCTCTTCTCTAATTGCTCAATCTCACCCACACGTTGCATATAATAGTGAAAAATCAAACAAAATGGCAGTATGTTAAGGAATACAGTTTCAGGCGAGAAAAAAAATACTGTCTTTTACAGTAGATTCTTAGATACTAGTCAAATATCTCTGTATTTTTTTTAAAGTTCTGGCTTTGGTAAAGAACCGGATGAGGAATCGGCCACAAGACAATTATAGCCTTTGAGATATGAAGTTTGTAGAGCCCCCAAATTAAATAATATTTTTAATGTTAAGAGTTACTGAAATCTCTCCAGATTTTAGTGGGTTCGTGAGATTTAAAGCAAGGACACAAGAACACAATTACCTCAGGAAGGAATTTTGGAAATCCTGTAAGATTTTGACGTGTGTATATCTTTGGGGGGGGGGAAGGCATAAAAATATGGTTGATGTCTACTCCAACGAAAAAAAGTTCTGTATCAATGGCCTAATTATGAAGAAGGATGTTTATCTGCAATTTAAACCTGAAACACAGAAGGAAGTGTTGATGCTTTTGCGATATGAAAGAAAGAAAATTTTGGCAAGGAACATCCAAGAAAAGACTAAGATCGGATTTAGGGAACTGAAGGCTAAAACATATGAAGAACGGTTGCAGGAATTGGGTATGTCTAGTTTAATGAAGAGGAGGACTCGGGATTACATGATAGCAGTCTTCCAATATTTGAGGGACTGCCACAAAGAAGAGGGGGTCAACCCATTCTCCAAAGCACCAGAAGGCAAGACAAGAAGCAATGGATGTAAACTGAACAAAGAGAGAAGCAACCTAGAACTAAAGAGAAACTTCCTGATAGTTAGAACAATTAATCAGTGGAACGACTTGCCTCCAGAAATTGTGGATGCTCCATCACTGGAAGTTTTTAAGAAGAGATTGGACAACCATGTGTCTGAAATGGTGTAGGGTTTTCTGATTGAGCAGGGGGTTGGAATAGAAGACCTCCAAGGCCCCTTCCAACTCCGTTATTCTGTTATTTTTACCCAGAAATATGTAGCATTTCTTTTTCTAGTGGGAATTTCCTGACTTCTGGCTCCTTAAAGCCAGGGTATTAATAGGAAGGAAAATGTGGATTTTAGGTGGGAGCAAAGAATCTGATTCTTATCTTGCTGCAGTGAAAAGTTGCATTTTAAAAGCAGCCCTGAGCAATTTATTACTTAACATCCCTCTTTCCCTCTTCTTGGAGTAGGATAATCCAGAGAGGTTTAAAAACAGAGGGAATGTTTGAGAGGGCGGACAGCTTGGCATCCGTCTGTTGAAGCACCCTTGGAAAAATTTTCGAGACACTGTCTTATTTTGTCTGTCTGGGAGCCGTAGAACCTAAATCTTGCTAAGCAGAGCACGTGGTTTTAGGGGAGACAAGATCTCCAATTAAAAAAAACAACAACAAAAGAAATTAGCACTAAGTACTTTTTGTTTCTGCGCTCTGGTTAAAATATGCTTGGAATGAATCATCGTACAGATGGCTTGATGGTTACAAGAAATAGTTCAGTGTCTTTAAAGGGGGGGAAAGAATCTGAAAGCTAATCTTCTGGTGCTGTTATTTAAAGCGGATCAAATCTGAGGTCCACTTCAACTTGCTTTTTGAGTTGCAGGATAGGGCTGAATGTCAATTGCAAACCCAGCGTATTCCTGGGTTTTGCAGAAATTGCTTTGCTCAAATAGGTAATGCAATCACTGGGTGATTTCGAGGGCCTGGGCTATGGTATCGGTATAGTGAAGGACAGCAGAGCCTGTTGGGGCATTCTCTTCTTTAAAAATCAAACCTGGTTGATGTTTATTGTGAGGCTAGTGCATGCCCACAAAGAATGTAAGGATTTGTCTAGGATTGTGTGTCTAGGTGGAGATGAAAGACTTGGGTGGAAGCTTAGCAAAGAAGAGCCAGCTTCAGTGGGTGTGTGGGCTGAACTGACCACTAGATGGCAGCAGTGAGGTATTGTTAGACATCTCTGTCTTTGCTGCCATCTAGTGGTCATGGAGAGTTCTGCTACATGGAAGATTCATGTAGATTTCAGACCAGGAATATGTCCTTGTATAGACGCTATCTTCAGATCATGTTCTAAGCTTCCCTATTGTCATTACTCTTTGAGAGAGGCTTGTGTGTACAGGCCTGTTCCCTTGAATGTAGCCAGTAACTTAATTCATTTTAGGATGGGAGGCCCAACACTATTCATGGCCCTGGTTTTGGGAGAGAAAAGGAAATATTAAGTTGCAGACGTTGGGAGACCTTGGTGGTTTAGAAACGGTGCTGTGATCTGAAAGAATTAAAAGTGTGTCTGCAATACTTCCATTTCTGTTATTCTGTTATCTTCTTAATGTATAAAGGCAAAGAAGAGATTTATTTTGGAGTTCAGATCTGAAGCACTTAATTTTGATCTATTGCAGGCAAGACCCAATTCTTTCCACCATAAGGTGAACCTTACTATAGTCTTCTGCATCTTCAGATATATCATCCTGTAGAAGATAGCTTTCTTCAGAGGACATGCAATAGACTGTTCCCAAGGCATTTGTTGAGGCAGCTATCTTATTTGTAACACTTCCTGGTTGTGCTGATGGGGGGGTTATAATAATAAAATCATACATGTATGGTTGAAGAAAGCATGGACCTCTAAGTAAAGTTGGAAGAGAGAAGCATGTACTCCGTTCAGGACCTTTGGTTCCACGAGCCTATGGACTCATCTTTGACCGCAACATATATATCTAAAAACTCCCAAGCAGGAACAGGCAGCCTTTGGTGGCTGGGAGGAAAGAATTCAACATTTGGGGGGAGA